ACTCAAAACTTAACCAAAAACAAAACAAAACAAAAAGTTTCACATACATTTTTATACACCATTTCATTGTAAATGAAAAAATATATTGTTTACAATTTTAAATTTAATTTTTTACAGTTTAGGTTCAAAACTTTTCAACTCTTCTGATGCTCGTAGTCGAAATTATTCAATCAAATTATTACAATTGTAATATCAGTATAAAATATCAGGATCAGACACTGTATAAACTGTAAAACTCAAAACTTAATTAATTATATAATTAGATTCAAAATTAATTAATTTTAAATTAATTGAATTTTATACAGTTTAGGTTCAAAACTTTTCAACTCTTTTGTTATTCGTGGTCAAAATTTTTTAATATACTGTAAGTTAGGTTAAGTTTACAAATTTTCAATCCACCCGTGTATATCTTTTCGAAAATATCATTTTATTTGAGAGAATTAGTTTTTAAATGTAAAACATTATTATTAATATTATATATATATATACTACTATTAAATATTATATTATATACTATTAAATATGAAGAACAAATAGATATATAAAAAATGCATGTAAAAATTGTGCCCTCATTTTCTAAAAAAAAAGGTTAAGTATTTAAGTTTTATTACTCGCACACTGTATAAATCTTGATGAATCCTGACAACTGTATAAATACAATATAAAAAGAAAGAAAGAAAGAAAGAAAAAAAAAAGAAAAATCAATGTCAACTTAAACTTTCCTTTTATAATTTTATAAGAGTTCATAAATATTATTATTAATAAAGAAAACGTAATGAATCGTAATATAATTTGATTGATAATTATACTTGAGAAATACAGGAGTCAAGTATTTCTTAGGTTAGATACAAAGTTAAGGTTAGAAAAAAAGAAAAAAAAGAAACAAGTGACGTTCGTTTGAAATCGTTTAAGGTGAAAGCTATCGAAACACGAACAAATGAACGAAGACGACGACAACATCATAAAATGAAAAATCGTTTTACCAGTTGCCGTGCCATTAATCGTACAAGTAGAAGACGTTAGCACCGTAATCGGAAATAATTCATTCGAATGGAATTCTCTCACTTACAATGAAGGAAAAGAAAGAAAGAAAGAAAAAAAAAGAATACCATATCAAATTTTATTAACTGTAAGAGTTAGTCTTAATACGATTTAATGTTTTTTCTTTCGTTTTTTATTTCCAAGGAAAATAATCCACTTTTTCTATACTTTTTAAGAAGACACACTTTCGATCATTCGAGAACAAGTAACCACGATTGATCGTAATTAATTAGAAAGTAATTACGATCTTTTAAGAGAGAGAGAGAGAGATACATTTTTTTCTAGATTCTTAGAAAATAATCATTTGAAAAACTTGTTCAAAACGACGAAGATCTCGTTATAAGAAAAAAAAAAAGAAAAAAGAAAAATAAAAAACCTTACACACAGGATGCTCAGACAAATGAGGTTAGATATTTTTCGTATCACCCTGTATATATGTATGTATAAAAAGAAATCACACAATTCGTAACTGCGATAACGATATCGTTTTACTTAATGACGTCATTTTTCTTCTTAATCCTTTACAAATCCTATGTCGAGTATGACTCGACATATCAGTTTTTATCTCAAGAGAGTAGCTCCTTTGTCGAGTCTCACTCGACAATTTGACTTTTATCTAAACGATCACATTAATTTAGTGTATAATTCGTGACATTTGATTTTTATTTTTCTATTTTTACTTTTATATTTTATTAAGGATATTTTTTGGTTTGAGTATATCTGTCAGGGATGATGAAAAATTAAGAAAAGGGGGATAACAATAAAATCATTTCGTGTTTGTCGAGTTTGTAATTCGAAAAAAAAAAAAAAATCACTTGAAGAAAGTTTTTCGAATGATAGTAAATTTATCTAATCTAGTAACATAAAGCTAGTAAAACGCAACTAATGTAATACACGCATCAAGGAATGTACCATACTTCCCTATGATCGGCATCGAGTACGTTGACCGATCGGTAGGACTGCCAGATGCTTGAGACTCTTCAGGAAGTGACTGTATACTGTATTCTTACCTGTCTTTAAACTTACCAGAAATGGACACGATGATCTTATTTTCATCTTATTTATTTCATACTCGAGTTGAAAAAGCTTTGCTAACTTTTATTCGTATCAATTCATTCACGTGCAGCATACTAATCCCATATTTTCTCACGAATTTGATTTTGTTATTATTGTTAAGTCAATAAAACATAATAATAAATATTCCAAAATTCCCTAGTAGCACAAAATATTGAATACATGTGTATTTAATATTAACAAGACGTTTAATCTCTTTTATTTTATATTTTGTGCTAATCTCTCTAGGGGGTTGTATTTTATTAAATTTTTATGAATAATTTTGTAATTTATATTTTTTTTTTAATAAATATATCAATTTATAATTTTAATATATGAAACATTTGATTATTTTAATCCGTTAAAATCAAATTGCGGACACTAATATGGCGGATACTAATATGGCGAAAGGAAAACAGCTGATCGAAAATAGCGGGCTGTTTTATTACAAATTCATGCAGTCTTTTTGCATATTTTTGTTAATAAAAATTAATTCGTTTATAAATATGATTTTTTTTTCCTTTATAGAAATATTTATTTATTACCTTACAAATTATTATATAAAAATATATTACCTATAAACATAACCTATATATATTATATTTCGTAACTGGAACCAAAAAAATTCTATGCAGTTAAACCATTGAACTAATTTTTCTCGAATTATACGAATAAAAAGTCAAATAAATTATATTGTAAAATGTTTATTATTTTTTGTGTTTTTATTTTTTTTTAGTATGAACAAACGGAGGACATTGATGGATTGAACAACACGAAAAGAGCCGACAGATTGGTACTTTTTTTCAATCGCGTACCAAAAGTTGGTTCACAAACGTTCATGGAACTTTTAAGAAGGCTTTCCATGAGGAATGGTTTTTCCTTCAACAGAGATCGAGTTCAAAGAGTCGAAACTATACGTCTTGCCCCAATTGAACAGGTACGAATCCCAACTTAATTCAACTTAACAATAATTGTTTGCGTCTCGATTGAAAGTTGGATGTATGTTAGCTGTAAAAATCACAAAAATTCAGCTAAAGTTTGACAGAAAAATGTGAAGATAAAATAAGAAAAATAAACAATAACAATTTGTCATTTTTGTAGCTTCAATTAGCCAGAATGGTCAGCAGTTACTCGGAACCATCGGTTTATGTTAAACATGTGTGTTTCACGAATTTTACCAAGTGAGTTTTAACCTTAAAGTTGGTCTCTTTTTTTTTTACAAAAAAAAAATTGAGTCAACCATCCCTTTTGACATACAAATAAAATTCAGTTAAAAAAGCTATAGAAAAATATTATTTCAATAATTAAACAATTACATGTAACAAATTCCATACCACGTGTAACATATTTAATTAATAACTTCAAAAATACTTCAAAGTTTACAACAAAGCATAAAACAAATGAAATCTCGTCAGATCTTATTGTATGTCAACTGGGATTAATAAAACAGAAAAACCCTATGTGACGTAACATTAGTCAATAATTTTTCTAATTCCCTAGGTTTAATTTACCAGAACCAATTTACATAAACGTAGTTCGTGACCCAGTTGAAAGGGTTATATCTTGGTATTATTACGTCAGAGCACCCTGGTATTACGTGGAAAGGAAACAGATTTTCCCTGATCTACCCTTACCCGATCCAAATTGGTTAAAGAAAGACTTTGAGACGTGCGTGTTGAAGGGTGACAGGGAGTGTCGTTATTTGGAGGGAGAAATACACGAGGGTATTGGTGATCATCGTAGACAAACCCTTTTCTTTTGTGGACATAGCGAAAAGTGCACGTGAGTTCTTTTTCTTCTTTTTTTTTTTTGATAATTTTTCATGTATCTACAGGGTGTACATTTATTTAGATTTTATGCCAATTAACTCATTTATTATCCATTCCTGTCACCAGTATGGTCTCTGGGTGGAATAGCTGATAAAAAGTACACTTTTCCAAATTAAAGCAATAAAAATCGTGGCCCTTGCATAGTGGCCCATCGCTTCGTTGCCTATTCGTATACAGGCTCCGTTGCCTCGCCATCTACCGGTTCGTTGCCTGAACTATCCATTTCTTCCAAATTCAAGCAATAAAAATCGTGGCCCTTGCATAGCGGCCTATCGCTCCGTTGCCTATCCGTATACAGGCTCCGTTGCCTATTCGTATACAGGCTCCGTTGCCTCGCCATCTACCGGTTCGTTGCCTGAACCACTCATTTCTTTTCAAATCACTTCCTATTCTAAAGAAGTTTTCACTTCAAAAAGATGTATTGATGAATGATCGAATATTTGAGTTTATTGATATACATTAATATTTCGGTTATACACCAAGTGATCATGTTAATCCTAACATTGTCCAATTTATTGGGTTAACAAGAAAGTAATTTCGACTTGCACCAATAGATAGCGTTATGTTTGTTTCGTTATTCTTTTGTTAATGTTAGAATTGTTTTCTTTTGAGGTTTGGTACTTGACACTTTTGAATTGCCATTTTCAGTCCTTTCAACACGGTGGGAGCCTTAGAACGTGCCAAACTAGCTGTTGAGAAACATTATGCGGTTGTTGGTGTCCTTGAAGATGTGAACACAACACTAACCGTCTTGGAAAATTACATACCTCGATTTTTCCGAGGTGCAACTGAAGTTTATCATGGTATTACAATTATATTTAACGTTTTTAACATTAATTAATTAATTATTATCAATCATTTTCATAAAAATAATTCGAATTTGTTTTGCTTTTTTTTTTTAGATCAAACACACGCATTCACCAGTATCAATCGGAATTTTTTCAAGCCACCCGTTAGCGAGGAAATCAAGGATATCGTTCGTCAAAATTTTACCCGTGAGGTAGAATTTTATCAATTTTGCAAACAACGATTGTACAGACAATTGCGAGCATTAAAATTTACCAATCACGATATAACTATGAATAATCGTTTATAGAAAAAAAAAAAAATAGAGAATAGTACTTCATTCTCTTCGACCTTGAAGATATAATATAAAAAAAAAAATCTTCGAAAACTGCCAATCATTAGATCTGAAAGATTTCATAACAATTATTGATCATTCGTAGTTTGTTTCTTTTTTATTTATACAAATTAGTCTAACCATTTATGTGTATATTAGATCTTTTTTTTTTTAATTAACTTTGTTAAATTATTAATTGTGTTGTGAAAATTAAATGAAGATAAAAAGACAAATTAGTTTTTAATTATCATTTAGGTAATAGCTCGTTCGATTGTTTATCCATTTAACCCTTTCAATACTATTAATTATATTTCAATAATGTTTATTAATAACTTAACAACTATATATTTGAAATTAATTTTGATTTTGAAACAAAAATATATATAAAAACAACTAGGATGTTTCCAATGTTCCCAATCCCAGCAATATGTATGGCGCGTCCCTCCTACAGGGTTTTTAATCTCTAGCACCTGAATACGCTATCTGGTGGCTAAATTCAAAATTAGAGTAGATAGATCGAATTGCTATGTCACGTAGGATCTGTAGCACTTGAATACGCTATCTGGTGGCTAAATTCAAAATTAGATTAGACAGGTCGAATTGCTACGCCACGTGGTGGGATCTCTAGCACTTGAATACGCTATCTGGTGGCTAAATTC